AGGGCCTGCTGTGATTCATGCTTAGTTCTCTAGGAGAGGGACAAGGGCAAGCTTGGATTCTGGCGGACCAGAGAGAGGAGCCCCTGACCACGAGCTAGGAGCGGGAGGACACTTATTGTTCTGTCCCCTCCTGATCAAAATGTAGCCTCCACATGTGGCCTGTGGAAACAGACCCCTCACTTCCAGCTCAGGGCTTCTGCAGAGTGTCCTCCTCTAGTCCCTGTCTCTGTGGTCTAGCTACTTTGCCTTGGCTGCTGGGCATGAGGTCTAGGGTGTCACAGTCCAGTAGAAATATAACCCAAGCCACGTGTAGAGTGTAATATTTTCTTTCTTTTTGAGACAGAGTCTTACTCTGTCAGCCAGGCTGGAGTGCAGTGGTGTGATCTTGGCTCACTGCAACCTCTGCCTCCTGAGTTCAAGTGATTCTCCTGTCTCCGCCTCCCGGGTAGCTGGGATTACAGGTGCCTGCCACCATGCCTGGCTCATTTTTGTATTTTTAATAGAGGTGGAGTTCCACCATCTTGGCCAGGCTGGTCTCGAACTTCTGACCTCAGTTGATCCACCTGCCTCGGCCTCCCAAAGTGCTGGGATTACAGGCATGAGCCACTGTGCCCAGCCAGAATATAATATTTTCTAATAGCCACATTTAAAACAAAGAAACGGGTAAGATTAATTTTTTGAATATATTTTGCTTAACCTAATATGTCTAGAATATTATCGTTTCAACATGTAATCAATTTAAAAAGTAAAGAGATCTTTTATATTCTTCTTTCACACTAAGTCTTGGAGATCTGGTTGGTGTGTAGTTTACTCCTGTGGCACATCTCAGTTTAGACTAACTGTTCCCAGGGCCATCCCTGTGGCCGTGGCTGCCATATTGGGGAGTGCAGGTCTAGCACTTTCCTTGTGCCCTCCACTCTCCACAGGCGGGGTCAGAGGCCTCCTCAGAGGCCCCATGTCCAGACCCCTTTGCCTTTCCCTGACCCAGGAGCAAATCATCCTTTGGGCCGGGGTGCCCATCTGTGTTTCCTTATTGGCCCGTGGGGAAAGCGAGAGCCCTGGACTGGGCATCAGAAGGCTCTACCACTCGGCCTGCTGTGTGACCTGGAGCAAGTCACCTCCCCTCTCTGGGCATTGGTCTCATTCTCTGTCAGTTGAATTTTCATTAGATTTGTGACTTTCAAACAGTGGAGCTTGTTTTTCTGAGGCAATCTCATGCCAAACCCCTATGTATAAATCACAGGAGAGTGAAGCTGCTCAATACACGGTGAGCTGCTGCCTCCAGCCCCCAGCCTGGAGATCACTCAGGGGCCGGGATGGAGCAGAGGGTGAAAACCCGGCACCATCAGTCTGCAGCTCACATTTTCACACCTAATTTTCTTTTCTTTTTCTTTTTTTTGAGACAGGGTCTCTCTGTGTCGCCCAGGCTGGAGTGCAGTCTCTGCTCATTGCAACCTCCTCCCCCTGGGTTTAAGTAATTCTCCTGCCTCAGCCTCCTGAGTAGCTGGGATCATAGGTGCCCACCAGCATGCCCAGCTAATTTTTCTATTTTTAGTAGAGATGGTGTTTCGCCATGTTGGCCAGGCTGGTCTCGAATTCCTGACCTCAGTTGATCCATCCGCCTCGGCCTCTCAAAGTGCTAGGATTACAGGCGTGAGCCACCGTGCCTGGCCTCACACCTAATTTTCTAAACCAGCAAATGACACTGTAGGTTGTTTCTGGGCCTGCGTACATAGTAAAGTATGAAAACATGCATAGGGAGCGCGCTGCTTTCAATTTTGTGGCCTCCTCTGAAGACGGAAGGAGGATGGACTAGGGATGGCACTTCAGTGCTGTTGCCAAAATTTAGTTTTTTGACTGAAAGAGACCTAAAGAGAATATAGTGAAATGTTAACATGTGTTCAAACTTAGTGGTGGGTTTGTGCTGATATTACTCTGTACTTTCCCGTATATTTGAGATCTTTTATAACTTTAATTTGAAACTTTAGGAAGGCCAAATAATATAATCTGATCTCACCTTAGGCAGAGAATTATTTTTAATCATCAAGTAAAATGTATCTTTCCCTCCCCACGACACACTAGGTCATCCCTAAGACCCCCACCCTCCCTGCTCCGGGAGTTCAGGAATATAGATGCTAAATTGACCAAGGGGTCAGGGGTTCTCAGGTCGTGGACAGTATCGATTCTACCTTTGGGGTATCAGGTATGTGAGGGCCCCAGGACATTGAGACCCAACCCTGGTTCAAGAGGAGCCTGAGAGGGGAGACCTTTCATGGCTAACCCTGCCTTAGGGATGGCTGTGAGGGGCCGGGGGAGGAACTGGGATCGGACCCTCTCTGTCTCCCAGGCCCCCAGCCTGCAGTCTCTGGGTGGAGGGAGGCCCCTCCTCTCCGTCACTCACTGCTCTTCCCCCTCCCATCGCAGCTTGACTCCAATGCACTGCAGCCCTGGGCCCCTCTGGCTGAGTTCTGGGGGCTCAGCTCACCTCTCTGAATGTGTGTGTGTTCCCCGCTGGGCCGCATCTCTTGTTCCTCCCTGTTACCCTTTCCCCCATACCCACTGATGAGGCCCCAAGCTCAGAAAGATTAGGACACCTGCCAGGGTCACCGTTCCCGGCCAGGCATGGCAGGAGGAGGGTTGTGGGAGGACAGCCGTGTACCAGGTCCAGTGAGGTTATTTCACTGCAACAAACAGGTCCTGCTGGTTTGCCATTTGGAGAGAGTTTGGCCCCAGTTCCCATGGGCTGGTTAAATGGTAACTTGTCTTTGGTTGTTTGTGGAAATGTGACAGGACACAGGCCACCAGCTAGGCCAGTGCTGGGCATTGGACTCCCAGTCATGCTTCTTTTCTCTTCTTTCTTTCTTTTTTTTTTTTGAGATGGATTCTGGCTCTGTTGTTCAGGCTAGAGTGCAGTGGTGTGATCTCAGTTCACTGCAACCTCCGCCTTCCGGGTTCAAGCGATTCTCCTGCCTCATCCTCCTGAGTACCTGCGATGATAAGCACCCGCTACCACGCTCAGCTGATTTTCGTATTTTCAATAGAGAGGGTTTCACAATGTTGGCGAGGCTGGTCTCAAACTCCTGACCTCAAGTGATCCACCTGCCTCGACCTCCCAAAGTGCTGGGATTATAGGCATGAGCCACTGCACCTAGCTCTTTCTTTGTTTTGTTTTGTTTTCTTTCTTTCTTTCCTTTTTTTTTTTTTTTTTTTTTTTGATACAAGGTCTCCCTCTGGCACCCAGGCTGGAGTGCAGCAGCATTATGACGGCTCACTATAGCCTTGAACTCCCAGGCACAGGTGATCCTCCAGCCCTAGCCTCAGCCTCAGCCTCCCAAGTACTGGGACTAGACACATGCCACCATGCCTGGCTAATTTTTTTTTTAGAGACTGGGTCTGGCTATGCTGCCCAGGCTAAGCAATACTTATTTTCTTTCTTTTTTGTTCTTTTCCAGAATCTTCCCCTTTCACATATCTTCCTAGCCAGACGAGTAAGAGCAAGGAGGAATGGTGGTGTTAACAACAGAGTAACACAGCCATTGAGGGCTTTTCATTGGCAGATTCTTAATCAAGAACAGCTGTGCCCATTTTACAGGAGGGACAACTGAGACAGAGAGGAGTGAGGTCACTGTGAGTCACTGGCCTTTCTGGCCTGAGAGTTGCCTCAATATGGCTGAGCCAAAGAGGTAGAGCAGGTGAGGGGTGGGGATGGAAAGAAACTCTGGTTCTTCAAAGACAGTTGACTGTCCTGCTGGCCTGAGGCACCGCAGTTGTGAGAACAGGATAGCTTCCACCCGTTCCCTTTGTGCAGTGCCTGCCTGATTACAGAGCTGGACACATAGGATCTCATCTGCGCCCACAACCACCATCTAAAATAGGCAGAACAGGTTTTACTGGCCCCTGTAACAGACAGGGAAACTGAGTCAGCAAGATTAGGAGCCTCGTTGAGTTCCACAGCTGGTCAGGCCCAGGGAGACCAGACCTCCGACACCAGCTCAAGACTCAGGCTTATCTGCGATTCCCTAGTTTGTACCAGGCCCGACTCTGTTTCCCGAGAAAGAACCCCAGGACATCATGTTTCTGGGCTGTTAGACCGATCAGGGGCTAAGGACTTGAGAGGACTTTTCCCGAAATTGACAGCTGCTTGGTCGGGGTGTGGTGGGTCATGCCTATAATCCTAGCACTTTGGGAGGCTGAGGTGGGCGGATCACAAGGTCAGGTGATCGAGACCATCCTGGCTAACATGGTGAAACCCCCATCTCTACTAAAAAGAAAAAAGGAAAAAGAAATTGACAGCTGCTTTGAGAGTGAGGCTTCCGACCAGCCCTTTATTTCATCTGGGGCTGGTTTGGCAGACTTCCACTCCTGGCCCACAATCCCAGGTGGACAGAGGGAGTGCCCTCCAGTTTTTGGATAACCTGTGGGGGAAGAAGCCTCATTCACGTGCTCCTAGACAGTGTGTGTGAGCCCTCAGGGGCCCAGGGTGGACAGTGCTTCCAGGCAGAGAGAATGTGCAATGCAAGTGAGGTGTCCGCTCCACAGAGCCCGGGTACTCCTGCCCCATAGAGTACCCACTCTCCTTCCTACCCCAAAGTGATCCTGCCTTCCTCAGCAGCTTTGTGAAGGTGCAGTGACTCAGAGGCTGGAGCAGGGCCTGGTGCACAGTAAGTACTCAACAGCGCCCCCCTCCACAGCTTTTTGTGCCCCGGGGCTCAGAGAAGCGGGAGACCCCAGGATTTCCCCAGGAAGGAGCCTGCCATCCTCACCATCGTGATTGGCCCCTGTGCTCACCCATCCAGGCCACTCGATGCCACGCTGGGGTGGGAGGTTCTTTACTGAGGAATCTGCAGAGGTCAGGGGGAGGCGGGAGTCAGGGCCACAGGGAAGGCCAGCCAAGGACAGCTGCCCACAGCAGGCCACAGCTGGGGCCCTCCCCACACTGCAGGCTGGCTTGTTTTCATGCAAAACCATGTTATGTAAATCAGTGCAGGGTTGAGCACACTCAAGTCAGAGTCAAGAATTGGGCCCCCTGCCCACCACCCAGGGTGTCTGAAGGCCCAGGCCGGCATACCCATCATTCAGCCAGAGCAGGTGGCCGAGCCAGCTGGGCTCTTCTCCAGATGCTTTCAGGGAGGGATGCCAGGCCTAAGACCAGGGGTCCACACCCTGAGGGGAGGTGGCAGAGGATGTGGTCTCGGAAAGCCCAGAACCTGGTGAGTGGGGAGGGGTCCTTCCAGATGGTTTCAACCTTTGACCCAATTCCTCCATCTCTGAGGCGAAGGGAAGGGATTGGGTTGATGCCCCCAGAGCCCCAACCCAGCCACCATCCTTTCTCAGAGCCACACAGCTGGGAGAAGTCACCAAGGCTCCCTGTGCTGAGAGAAAGAGGGTATGTCTCAGGTGGGTATAAGACGTGGACTCCTGGAGGGGTCCTTGGCCCTCTCTCCTAGCAGGGACATTCCTTCTCCCGCCACCCTCCAGATCTCCTGCTCCAGATGCCTGGCTCCTCCAGGGCACCCCAATGGGCGGCTCTGCCACCCCAGGACACTCAACTGGAGCCACCCTTACAAAACCGGTTTGAAGCCAAACAATAGCAGGTCACAGTCCAGCTGAGCTGGAGGCCTCAGCAGGGTGAACACGAGTGAGGCTGTGGCCAAGAGGGACAGAGGTGCCAGGGTCTCAGAGGCAGGTGTGGCGCAGTTGCCAGCAAGCCCCACTGCCCAGCACGGCCGCCCCACAGCTCCGTCTCTTCCCCATGACCTGACCGCAGCTTTGAGGCCAGCACTTGGCCTCCCCTCCCAAGCAGCAGGTCCCTTCTCTGGCCGGGGAGGAGGAGGAGGGTGACTTCCGAAGGGAGAGGAAGCAGAATGTCAGCCTGCAGCCTTCCTGCCAGGAGAGGAGAACTTCAGGTCAGAATGGCCATCTCAACCTCATGGAAGCTCTGGATTGACGAGTGACCGCTGATGTGGCAGGAGGTCCACCTTCCCACAAAGGGAGCCCAGAGCCCAGAGGGGTCCCTCTGGCCCAGGGAGGGTGGGACATAGGCATATGGGTGGAAGTTGGACAAAGTCTGGCAGAATGGGGCACCAGGGGACAGTAAGACCCTGGCTGAGAAACTGAGCGGGGACAGGCCCCAGCAATTCCCTTGGAGATAAAGAGCCTGCTGCAGGTCCCAGGCCCCAACCGGGGACAGACGGGAGGGGATGTGCTGGTGATGGGGGTGAGCCATCTAGACAGAAAGCTCTGTGGACACCTGAGGCCTCCTCCTGGAATTGCCCCAAGCCATGTGGCTAAGGCCTGGGGAGCCCTTCACCATGTGGGTTGGGGTGCAGTGGGGTGGGAGCCCCTCGCCAAAGCTGGGAAGGGGCAGGGGCTGCAGAGAGCCTCTGGGAGATGGGAGGCACAGCAGGGAGGAGCCTGCATGGGCCTTCCAAGTGCCCCGCTGCCCGACTTTCCTCCTGCCCAGCCCCGTGGGTGGACTCCAACCTACAGCTTCACTGATCTCAGAAGGCCCCACCCTCTCCCAGCTTGTGCTTCTGACTGTTTATTTCCTGCAGAGGAGTCAGTGTTCCTGCCACTGAGAACAGAGATGTTTTCACCCAGAGGGCCCACCCGCCGCACCCCTGCCTGCACCCCTCACACCCTGGCTCCATCCTAATGCAGGGATATGAACTTGGGCTTGGGTCCCAGCTGCTTCCTGGGCCTCTGAATCCTCATCTTTGAGCTGAGGGTGTGAGACGGGATAATTCCAGCCACCATCCAGCCCCAAATGTCCCCCACTTCATGACTGTCTTCCTCAAATGCCATGCCTCCTCAAATACCTCTCCTCCCCACCAGCGAGAGAGGTGCAGTCTGGTGGGGGAGAGAGGAGGCTGCTGGATGACTGTGCCTTCTTCCCACATCCCAGCCTGTTCTTCTGGATCCCACATCCAGGGACCCCCAGCCTTTACAGTTGACCCATTCCAGCATATTAGCCACAAGATTGTTGGTTCTCTTTAATAGGTGAGGAGTCTGAGTCTCAGACAGACCCTGTGTCTTGCTGAAAGTCACCTGGCCAGTCAGGGGCAGGGCTGGGTTTCAAGCCCAGCAGCAGGCCCCCTTGCCCCCACCCCCCAACATCTGTGCAGAGCCCTGGGTTGCCCTCCTCCAACGTCGTTGTGGCGTGAACAGCCAGGCGCTTTCATTCAGGGCCCGACTCTGCAGCCGCCACAGCCTGGTGATGTCAGCGTTGCCATGGAAACCATTCCCCAGGCGTCGGGCAGGACCAGCCTCCCCAGCGCAGTTTCCCTTTGTGTGGACTTTGCAACGCGTTGCCAAGACAGTGAGGCCTGCTGGGCGGGTTGGCATGGGGTGGGGAAGGCAGACAAAAACCCGCACCGCATCCCAGCAACCGGCAGCTCACAACAGGCCCCACGGTGCTTGTGGGAGGGAGGGACCGTGGGCTGGTGGCCTGAGGCGTGAGAACCGGTGGGGGCGGGGGGGGGGGGGCGGCCCACACCCCAGCTCAGGAACCCCATCTGGTAACAGGCTTTTGGTGTCTTTAGTGCTATTTTGAATTACCTGGGCCTGGGTGTTGTGAAAAAGGCAGACCTGCTGGCGGAGGTGGGAGGAGTCAGTGGTTTAAACAAACCCCCGAGCAATTCGGGTGTGCCGCCCATTCCGAGGGCGCCTTCAGGGAAGAATGACGTTTATTGAGCACCTAGCTATGCCAGGCGGGCTCTTCTGCCTATTCTCTTTCTTTTAAAAAAATAATTAATTAATTAAATTTTTTTTGAGACAGAGTCCTGCCCTGTCACCCAGGCTGGAGTGCAATGGTGCAATCTTGGCTCACTGCAACCTCTGCCTCCTGGGTTCAAGCGATTCTCCTGTCTCAGCCTCCCGGGTAGCTGAGATGACAAGCACACGTTGCCACACCCGACTAGTATTTTTTATTTTAGTATTTAGTATTTTGTATTTAGACGGGGTTTCACCACGTTGCCCAGGCTGTTCTAGAACTCCTGAGCTCATGCCATCCACCCACCTCGGCCGCCTAAAGTGCTAGGATTATAGGTGTGAGCCACTGCGCCAGGCTATTTTCTTTCTTTCTTATTTTTTGTTAGACAGAGATTCACTCTGTTGCCCAGGCTGCAGTGCAGTGGTGTGATCTCAGCTCACTGTAACCTTCACCTCCCAGGTTCAAGCAATTCTCGTGCCTCAGCCTCCCAAGCAGCTGGGGCTATAGGTGCATGCCACCATGCCAGGCTACTCTATATTTTTAGTAGAGACAGGGTTTCACCATGTTGGCCAGGCTGATCTGGAACTCCTGACCTCAAATGATCCGCCCACCTCAGCCTCCCAAAGTGCTGGGATTGCAGGTGTGAGCCACCGCACCCAGCCCCCTTCTGCTTATTTTCTCTTGCACTATAATCCTCACAGCAACCCTGAGTGGGAGAAGGGGACAGAAGAAATTTTTTGGTGTGGTTTGAAAAAAAAATCCTCATTTCTCAGTGGAAGATGCTGAAACTCAGCAAGGTTAAATCAGTGTTTGCCCACGGTCACTCAGCTTAGACGTGGCAGAGTCTGGATTCTAACTCTGCGGCCTCCTCGCCATCCAAGCTGGGCCTGCGGCCTGGCAGTGTTCACTTTCTCCTCTTGCTGGTTTTCCAGGAAGAATCCTATAGTACCTTTGGAGAGTGGGCCAGCTCTGTCCAAAGCCTCCCACAAGCTCCCAGATCTAAGAGGGGTTTGAGCCAAGCGAGAATCTCCAAGCCCAGGCCCCTCCCTGCAGAGGCTTGGAAAGCCTGCTCAGCCTAGTAAGGAAAACTCATACCCTGGCCAAAGTCTCTTCTGTCCTCCAGCCACCTCGGCCCTCCAGCCACACCCTCCTCTGTCCTGTAGGCTGCCCTGGCCTCTGTGCTCCCTGAAAGGGCTCCTGAAGCCTCTGCTTCCTCCCCCTGCCCAGGGATAGGTGGCCTCTGAACCAGTCCACGGAGGTGGCCACTTCTTGGAAGTTTCCAGGAAGAGGGATTCAGTGACCTTTGCTGGCGATGTCGCAGAGCTTCCGCTTAGAAGTGACAGCCTTTCTGTGTCCACCCTCCACACTCCTGCTTTCTCTGAAGCCTGGTTCCTTAAGCTCCGTCTCTCTTTTTGTTGGTGTTGTTTGTTTTTGAGATGGAGTCTTGAGCTGTCTCCCAGGCTGGAGTGCAGTGGCATGATCTGAGCTCACTGCAGCCTCCACAACCCGGGTTCCAGTGATTCTCCTGTCTCAGCCTCTGGAGTAGCTGGGATTACAGGCATGGACCACCTGGCTAATTTTTGTTTTTTTAGTAGAGACAGGGTTTCACTATGTTGGCCAGGCTGGTCTCAAACTCCTGACCTCAGGTGATCTGCCTGCCTCGGCCTCCCAAAGTGCTGGGATCACAGGTATGAGTCACGATGCCCGGTCTCTCTCTTTCTTAACAACCTCTCTGAGGGCTCAAGGGGAGGGAACCCTACCCTGCAGTCCTGGGTTCTATTTTGCCTGCTGACTCTGAAGCTGACACTCTGCCTGATATCGCTGCCCGAGGATCTGGGCTCCTCCCTCTCCACCTGCATCTCCCTTATTTCTCATTTATTTATTTATTCATTTTTTTTTTTTTTTGAGACATGGTCTCGCTCAGTCACTTGGGCTGGAGTGCTGTGGCACTATCACAGCCCACTGCAGCCTCAATCTCCCAGGCTCAAGCGATCCTCCTGCCTCAGCCTCTGGAGCAGCTGGGATCACAAGCACACACCACCACACCCAGCTAATTTATAAATTTCTTTGTATAGACAGGGTCTTCCTATGTTTCCCAGGCTGCTCTCCAACCCCTAGGCTTGAGTGACCCTCCTGCCTTGGTCTCCCAAAGTGCTGGGGTTACAGGCACCATGCCTGGCTGTGAATCTCCCTTATTAAAGATCAGCAAACACTAGTGACCTCCACTGAGAGCCGACGAGAGCTGACCTCATGCCAGGGATGCCAGGAATGGCTGGATGGTGAGTGGGGTGGGGTTCAGCTTGTGCTGGGCACACCTGAAGCCAGCCAGGGTTCCACTCCCAACCATGACCAGGCCCTGCCTGTCCCTTCATTGGACAAGTATTTCCTGAAGTCTGTGCTATGCTTTAGGAAGCATTTTTTTTTAACGTCCCCAAACAAGCCAAAAATGATGGAGGAGAATTAATAAAAAGCCAAACAACTAAATAACCGTGAGCCCTGTTCATCCCCAACATGGAAGAGTATAACCTAGTCATAGTTCATGTTTGATCTTAGAATGAAGAGGGGACATGCTACTGAATGCTGACAGTAGTCATCGCTAGCGGGTGACATTTTAGGTGACTTTTATATGCATTTGCTGTGCTTTCCAAACTTTCTACACTTTAAGATGAAAATTTTTTTTTTTTTGAGATGGAGTCTTGCTTTGTCACCCAGGCTGGAGTGCAGTGGGGTGATCTCGGATCTCGGCTCACTGCAACCTCCGCCTCCCAGGTTCAAGGGATTCTCCTGCCTCAGCCTCCCAAGTAGCTGGGATTACAGGCATGTGCCACCACGCCCAGCTAATTTTTGTATTTTTAGTAAAAGTGGGGTTTCACCACCTTGGCCAGGATGGTCTCCATCTCTTGACCTTGTGATCGGCCCACTTCAGCCTCCCAAAGTGCTGGGATTACAGGCATGAGCCACCGTGTCCAGCCAAGATGAAATTTTTATAAGCAGAGAAGCCCCAATAAGCCTGAGTATATGTTGTGAGCCTCTAAAGGAAAGCTCAGTGTCTATAGCCTCTGGGACTGGAGGGTCGGGCAGAGGCCAGCTGGTCCATCCCTTCTCCTCCCTACAGGGGCACACCCAGACCAGTCAATAAGTTTCCCAGCCCTACCTGTGCAGGCTGGGAGAGGCTGCCTGGATGGAGAGCCCGGGCCCAGGGGGCCCTGGAGACTCTGACCCCAGCCAGAGTTCAGAACAACCAAAGGACCAGAGGGCAATAGATGGGTAACGTCCACCATGGGCCTTATAACCTCCTCCCTGGCCCAGCCAGGCTGGGAAGCAGAGGGGAAGAGATGGGGGCACTGGTTGTCTCAAGGAGAAGGACCCCGAAGTGGGATGATGATGCCTCTTGCACGGGCTGTTGGGGGATTAAACGTGATGACTGGCCCACAGGCCCCAGACGAGGAGGCACTCAGGAAACAGTGCTGGGCGTGTGGATGAATGCACACGCTGGCTGTTCTCCCTTATGGGGTTGGAAATCCTCTCCAACTGCAGAATTGTAAAATACCCTCTGCTTTACGATCGGAGCAGGAAGCCATCTCTGCTCCTGAATTCCCTCACACAGGCTGCAGCAGGAAATGCACAACAGAGGCAGCCAGAGCCACTCTTGCTATCCGGCTCTGGAAGGTCCCTCAGTGCTCTGGGGCCCAGGCTGCCCGTGTTGGAACTGCCACATCCAGTCCTACCAAAGTCCACGCTGCAGCCACAGGAACGAAAAGGATGATAGCTTTGTGGAAAACTCAAGTATTTAAAAAATAAACAAAACGTGTGAAGGCCAAGTTAAGTCCATCTGTGGGCTGCAGTCTCTGTTCTCAATTTTACCATTGATCTTACCAAAATAACTCCTTTGCATTTTTATCAGGGCCTTTGTGGAGTGATTTCCTCCAAAGAGAGGGACCCCAGGGGTGGGAATCTCGGGCCCTTTGGCTGTCCCTGGTCACACCAGGCATCTGTTGTGTGCTGACTGACCAGGCCTGCTCCCCAGAATGCATCCTCAGGCACCAGCGGATCTGAGATTTTGGCAACAGTCCAAGGCATTGAGATCTTGCCAGAAAACAAGGTAGAGGCCTCTCTGGAAGCAGCGGGTGTCAGCTATGCCCTGCGTTTGCAAAGATCATCCGCTACAAGGCTGAGTGCTTGGGATTCTGGGGCAGGTGGAGTCCCAGAAACGTCCCCTCCCCAGACTAAGCAGATTAAGGTTTCCACCTGTTCTTTCCTTCAGTAATCCCTGCATTTGATTCTCTAACCTAACAGGAACCAGGCCAGGTGGAGATGGCCATGATTTCCATTTTGCAAATGAAGAAACTGAGGCTCAGCAAGTGACTTACCCAGGTTGCACAGGGACTATATTCAAGCCCTAAGAACTAGGACCGTTTTATAGCAGGTCTCCCAAAGGCCACAGGTAGCTTCTGATCTTCTCCCACAGGAGACTTGGTGGCTCTAAGATTTTGCTTTTCTAACAAGCTACTGGTGATGCTGATGCCACTGCTGCACTTTCGAATCACCTGAGGAGCTTTGAAGAAAGGTCGATGCCTGGTTCCCACCCGCAGGATCTGATTTCATTGGCCTGGGTGCAGCCTGGCATTAGTGGCTGGCATTAGACTTGGTGGCTCTTGTGGATAATACAGTTTCTTTCTCTTTGTAAATTTTATTTTTTAATCATTACACAAACTTCATGTTAATATCTATTACAAGAACCCCCAAAGACCAAAAGACAACCCATAACCCATGAACGTCATCGTGTTTTCACATTCTACCTTCTAATCATCATTCACAGGAACATCCTTTTCCTTGCCTCTGAGAGACACAGTTTTCAAATTTCTAAACTACAAACATGCGTTTGTTTGTTTTGAGACAGGATCTCAGGCTGTTGCCCAGGCTGGAGTGCAATGGCACCATCATGGCTTACTGTAGCCTCAACCTTCTGGGTTCAAGCGATCCTCCCACTCAGCCTCCCAAGTAACTGGGACTACAGGCACACACCACCATGTCTGGCATTCAAAAAAAATTTTTTTTTTTGGTAGAGATAGGGGTCTCACAATGTTGCCCGGCTGGTCTCAAACTCTTGGACTCAAGTGATCCTCCCACCCAGGCCTCCCAAATTGCTGGGATTACAGGCATGAGCCACTGCACCCAGTACAAATGAGTTTCATAGTTGATGTATATACATAATGTGCCTGCAAATGTGTGTGCATTTTTTTTTCCACGAAAAAAAACCTGTCTTGGTAAATCAATTATGTGTCATATAATCAAGGAAATAGGTCATTTTGTAGATATGTAAGCAAATCATCAATATCTTTGCTTCCCACTTCATTCACTTCCCTTTATATCCCCTGGCATTGGCCAAGGTTTTAAAAATAAAGACAACTCAGTATTTCCTAATCCCTGGCCAGCTGGCCACCCCCACACCAGGCACTTGGGCACTCCAGCTAACTTCAATCTAAATCAAAACAGCAAGAGGATGTGTATAAGCCTCTGCTCTAGAAATTCCAAGGGGAAATGGGAAGGAGAGAAACTGATGCTTAATGGGCATCTGCTATGTGCCAGCCTTGAGCTGCGGAATTTGAGGAGTGAGGAGGGCTTCCATCTCTAGATTGTAAGGGAGAGGATGTTTCACAATCCTGAAGTCAGAGGGGGAAAAGTTCCAATTGGAAATATTAAGAGAGAAGAGCCCAACTTGTGTTCCCTGGCCCTTGGTAATTAATCAAAGTAATCTTTTCTTTTCTTTTTTTGTTACAGAGTCTCACTCTGTCACCTAGACTTGAGTGCAATGGCATGATCTCGGCTCACTGCAACCTCCACCTCCCGGGTTCAAGTTATTCTCTTGCTTTAGCCTCCCCAGTAGCTGGGATTACAGGTGTGCACCACCACGCCCAATTAATTTTTGTATTTTTAGTAGAGACAGGGTTTCACTATGTTGGTCAGGCTGGTCTCGAACTCCTGACCTCGTGATCTGCCCGCCTTAGCCTCCCAAAGTACTGGGATTACAGGTATGAACCACTGCGCCCAGCCACTAGATTTTCTTTTCAAAAAGTGTCTTTAAGTTGACTATCTCTTGTGAAGCTGGTTATTTTTCAGATGTGCCATGTTCCTGTAGGCCCCAGCTTTGCCTCACACAGCCTCAGTCTGAGATGGTGCGCCTCAAGTTGTCTTGAGTCAGAATCACCTGGAGGGCTTGTTAAACTGCAGCTGGCTGGGCCCCGCCCCCAGAGATTGTGATTCAGCAGGTCTAAGGCAGTGTCTGAGATGCTTTTCTAACAAGCTACTGGTGTTGCTGATGCCGCTGGTGCACTTTTGGATTACCTGAGGAGCTTTGAAAAAAGGCTGGTGCCTGGCTCCCACCCCCAGCATCTGATTTCATCGGCCTGGGTGCAGCCTGGCATTAGGGGTGCCATGGCTCCACAGGTGATTCTTATGTGCTGCCCTGCATAAGGGCCGCTGGGTTTACCGAAAGAAGCCAGCAGACATGATAAGAGTTTCCTGAGACTATGAGATGCCTTGGATTTCAGGGACAACCTCCTCAGTCTTCCGAGATCAGGGCCTACCAGGCAGAGAGGATGGAGGGATGGAGGGAAGCTGTCATCTATGAGCTGTACTTCCACACCTGTATCTTTCAAACCAAGTTAACTGGTTACTAATGCTAGGTGGGGAACCACGTGAACTGACCTCTAAGATTTCCAGCTTCTCTAGCCAAGCTTCTGGACCACATGGCTGTGGTCCGTGCCCCCTAGATGGCACACACTTGCCAGCTTGCCACAGTCCCCATCACCCCCTAGTACATTACCCTCCTTGGCCTGAGACCTATTGATTTGAGCTGCTTGGCGCCATTGAGTGTCCATCGTCGAGTTCATGGGCAGGTGTGAGTGGACAGGAGCTTTAGGAACGGGAACTCAGGGCAGTACTTTCACAGGAAGACAGGAGACTTGGGGACAGGACCCTGTGCATTCTTTGGAGGTGATGGTGAGCTCAGTCCCTGCTCTTAGTCTAGGAGTAGGGGATGTTAGACTGAAACCCAAGGGACCCATCATCTCACCCCAGCTCTGTCACTCATTTGCAGAGTGACTTTAGGTAACTAACACCATCTGTCTATGCCTCAGTTTCCTCATCTGCACAGTGAGTGAGGGTAAGACATGCTGAGCTCCGGTATCCACCCTATTCTAGGAGCTGGACAGGAAAGAGTTGGGAGTTGGAGGACCCTGAAGCCTAGGGAGGTAGACAGCTGGGCCCCAGGAGGTGGGCAGAAAGGAGGTCCAGTTCGCTCCCGGTCTAACCACAGGTCTGTGCCATCCCCAGCTCCTCAAAGCTGGACTCTGAGCCCCACCCGTAAGTGCGGGCAGAGTCTAATTCCTATATGAACTCTGATGCGAGGCACTGTGGATAGTGGCTGAAGCCCGGACTCTGGAGCCCGTTGGGCCCAGTCCTGTGGCTTTGCCACTTCCTGGCTGTGTGGCAGGTTATCAACCCCTCTGGAGTCTCAGTATTTTCAAATGTAGCATGGGCTAGCAAGGGGTTGCTGTGGGGATCAAATTAGCTGCACCTGGAAAGCATTTAGCTTTGCGTGTGGCAGATACTCATGGGTCACCATCACCATCATTAAGAGGGGGCACTCAAGTCATACCTGGGGCTTCGTGTGTGCCCCCAAAATCTTGGCCCCAACCCCAAGATGCGTCTTTTTTTTTTTTTTGAAGGAGAGTCTGGCTCTGTTGCCCAAGCTGAAGTGCAATGGCACAATCTAGGCTCACTGCAACCTCCGCCTCCTGGGTTCAAGTGATTCTCCTGCCTCAGTCTCCCAAGTAGCTGGGATTACAGGCACACACCACAACGCCTGGATAATATTTGCATTTTTAGTCGAGACAGGGTTCTACCATGTTGGCTGGGCTGGGCTCAAACTCCTGACCTCGGGCGATCCATCCACCTCAGCCTCCCAAAATGATGAGATTACAGGTGTGAACCACTGTACCTGGCCCCAATATGTGTGTCTTGATAATTGGGGTCCCACTGTCCTCCTAAATTCCTATGATTGAGCCCAAGTTCCCCGAAATGGGCGTCTGGTCCAGCCCAAGTTCACTGACTGGTTCTGAGATTCCCTGCAGACCTGAGCTCTTGCAGTCAGGTCACCCTCTGCCCCTGCCCTCATTTCCTCTGCCAGCTGCCACATGCAGGTGTCCTGAAGCATCTTGGACATGGAGTCAGACAGTATAATCTCCCCTGGCTGTGTGACCTTGGGCAGGTTACTTACTCTCTCTGTGCTTTTGTAAAAAGGGAATAATAACCCCCACTAGCTCCTAAGCTCCTCGAGGGAAAAGACGGAGTTTGCTTTATCCACCAGTGTATAGCCAGCATCTAGCCCAGTGCCTGGCACATAGGAGGTACTCAAAAAATATTTGTGGGATCAATGAATGGGTTGACCTAAGGACTAAATTGAATAATATACATGAAGCACAGTGCCAGGCACATGGTAGCCCCTAAATTAATGTTTCTTGGAACTGAACCTGTCTGACTTCCTGAACTTCTGTATTTTCCTTTGTGCTTTCTTATGGCCTACATGTTGAGACACATTCCAGAAACTTGGACCATGGATCGTTAATACCTTGGTCATCACACTTGGCCCCTCCCAGCACCTCTCAATTTCAGCAATAGAGCCTGATCCACAACCCTGGCCACCGTATCTACCCTAACCAACTTAACAATCACATGTGTGTGTATCCATCCATCTGTCCACTCACCGATTCATTCAACACATTTTCAGGAGTGTCTGCTATCTCCATACTTCCTCCCCAGGCTCCTCCCCAAGCTTTGGATTCCTACATATCATGGGTTACTGGATGTTTCCACTCGGGCCTGCCGTGATGTTGCAAACACCAAGCCAGACCCTCCTTTTCTCATACCAGGGCTTTTCCTCCAGGGCTCTCTAAGCTGATGGTGCCGCTGCCAGCCTGGTCACCCAAACAGGGATCCCAGGAGTTGCCCATGACACTCCCCGATGGGCACGCAGGCCTGACTGTTTATTTCCTATGCTATTCTCAGATACCGTCTCTCCCAACCTTTTCTGCCCAATTAGCCTGGGAATCCCCAAGCTCTTTTTCCTGAGTTTCTCTCTCCTCGCTGTTCTATCCTCCTCTCTCTCCCTTTTATCTATCCTCCCAATGCTGCTCCCAGGAGGCTCCATCTCCCGCCCCCACCTTCAAGCCTCCCAGTTCCTTTCTGTCCAACCTGTTGGCCTGTCCTGAAGGCTCCCACAATCTGGGGTCCCTGTGACCTGCTCGGTGTCATCTCCTGTTCTGTCTCCTGTGTCATAGTCTCCTGACCAGCGTCATTCTCTGTCTCACCTCCAGGCCTTACTTCTTCTTCCTGAATGCCTTTCTTTCCTCAGCTCACCCCTTTACTTGGCCAACCCTTACTCACCCTTCAAATCCAGTTTCAGTGTTACCTGCTCCAAGAAAACTTTTCAGACCGCACCCAGCCTAGATTACAGACTCTTCAGCTCTGCTCCCATCTGACCCATGCATGACGCCATCGCTGTAGTTACCACATTATTTCATAATTATCTGCTTAGTGTCCGGCTTCTGCATGCTTATTCATTGCTCTACCCTTCTGTGCACAGTGCCTGGCCCAGAGTAACCCCCTGTGCAGATACGATTGCTCAGTAACAAATCACCCCATAATTTAGTGGCTTAAAAGTGCTATTTTGCTCATGGTTTTGTGGGTCTAGAATTTGGGAAGGCCTCAGCCAAGCAGTTCTCATTTGGGTTCTGCTATGGGCTGCAGTCACCCAAAGTCTCAAGGGAGTACATGTAGATGGGCTTGGGTTTTGCAGTAGATGCTGGCAATTGGCTGGGAGTTGGCTGAGCTTTCCGCTGAGGCTTTACATGTGTCCTCTCTGGCACAGCAATCTCCGGGTAGTCAGACATCCCCCGGAGCCAGCGTCCCAAGAAAGCCAGAAGGAAGATGCTTTTGCTTATCTAATCTAACCTTGAAACTCACAGCCAGGCGAGGTGTCTCATGCCTGTAATCCCAGCACTTTGGGAGGCCGGAGCGCACGGATCATCTGAGGTCGGGAATTCGAGACCAGCCTGACCAACATGGAGAAAGTTGTCTCTACTAAAAATACAAAGTTAGCTGGGTGTGGTGGTGCATGCCTGTAGTCCCAGCTACCTGGGAGCCTGAGGCAGAAGAATCACTTGAACCTGGGAGGCGGAGGTTGCAGTGAGCTGAGATTGCGCCATTGCACTCCAGCCTGGGCGACAAGAGCGAAATTCCATCTTGAAAGAAAGAAAGTCAGGCAGTATCACTTCCATCACATTCTATGTGTTACAAGTGAGTGGCTAAGGTCAGCCCAGATTAGAGCAGAGGGGACAGAAGCCCTGCCTTTCAATGGGAAGGGTGTTAAAGAATTTGCAGACATGCTTTAAAGCCACCAGAACCTCAACACATTTGTTGCATGGATAGTTGAAGACACGGATGCCAAATTTCTCCCCACCTATCCCTATCCTGTCCCATGAATACCTAGTTCTTTTATTTTATTTTTATTTTTTTGTTTTGTTTTTTTAGACAGAGTCTTTGCTCTGTCACCCAGGCTGGAGTGCAGGGGCACCATCTTGGCTCACTGCAACCTCCATCTCCTGGGCTCAAGACGAGGTCTCATTATATTGCCTAGGCTGGTCTGGAACTCCTGGGCTCAAGCAAACCTCCCACCTTGGCCTACCAAAGTGCTGGGATTATAGACGTGAGCCACTGCACCGGCCAACACTTAATTCTTTTCTTCCTGCCTCCTTCTTCTGCACCACTGTGACTCCAGCACATTTGAGGGTTGGCAGAGTGGCCTGGTGGTGGAAGAACACAGGCTAAAAACCTATAGCTTCTGCCTCCGTGTGCCTGCTGCCAGCTGGCGTGAGATGCTGAGACAAGTCCCTCTCCTGTCCTAGGCTTCGGTTTCCCTACCCAGAGAATGAAGTGCTGGGCCAGATATTCTCTAAGTTCCTCTCCGCCTCCCACCTTCTGCTCTAACTTTAGGCATCTCCATTATTCCTACTTGCTTTCTGAAAAGGCGGCTGGAAGCACGGGCCAGCCCCATTCTGCAAAGCTGCCTCCAGTCTTCATGTCTTTGGGAGTTAGTGTCTTAGTGACACAAGCACACACAGTACATTCTGGTGTGAGAAACTCAAATACTACAGAAATATGCAGAGTAAAATCTGAAACTCACTGCACCCTTCCTTTATGCCCTGCCTCCCTCTGTAGGGGACTCCTCCATCCGTTCAGCGATTGCCCTGGCAACCTTTTCTACGCACCTACAGATTTCTCAGGAGGGGATATGTGGTTTGTTTTATCTTTTAACAAATAAAATCATATTGTTCATGTTTTTGCAACTTTCTTTTTTTCACTTAATTCTATGTCTAGGACATCTTTCCACCACATCCCCAGCTTTGTTTTTTCTTTTTGAGACGGAGTCTAGTTCTGTCGCCCAGGCTGAAGTGCAGTGGTGTGATCTCGGCTCACTGCAACCTCCGCCTCCCAGGTTCAAGTGATTCTCCTGACTCAGCATCCTGAGTAGCTGGGATTACAGGCGTCCGCCACAACACCCAGCTACTTTTGTATTATTAGTAGAGACGGAGTTTCGCCATGTTGGCCAGGCTGGTCTTGAACTCCTGATCTCAGGTGATTCGCCTGCCTCGACCTCCCAAAGTGCTGGGATGACAGGCGTGAGCCACCGCGCCCAGCCTTCTTAAAAAGATGCTCTATAATTTGCGATGGTATGGATGCTGCAAAGTTCACGTGACCATTCTCCATATCGTCAAATATTTTGGCAACTTCCAGTTTTAATTATTGTATACAATCTTGCAAAGGGCATCCTCAGGCCGTGTTCAGCACTCCACGGTATTGCAGGGCTGGGGGACACTCCACTCCCGAGTCCTAGAGAGAGCCTCTTTCAAGCAAGCCAGGAGTGCAAATCCTCCTGCCTGCAAATTGCAGGCTGTGTGGCCTGAGCCAACTCGCTAGAGCTCTCGGGAACGGCTGTGACAGCCAGCTAACAATAGCCCTGCTTAGCAGCCCCGCGGCGGGCTGACGTGGTGAGGCCCGCAGGCCCGCCCCAGCCCCAGCCCGCCCGCCCTCAGCTGTCCGGGCCGGACTGGGGGATGATGCAGAGGCCGCAGGGCCTGGCTGGCTCCCTGCGGCCGCTTATCAGAGCAGGCTCTGGCGCCGGTTACGTAACAGGGCGGCTAATGCTGTTTTACTTGTTGATGGAACCCAAATTAAAAGAGGAAATTATTCTCCTGATGCTCAACTCGCCTAATCCCCATCTGTCTCTCCCCTGATCCCCCGCGCTGCGGAGCGCTCGCATCTAAAGGTCTTGAACGCTTTCCAGATTTCTAATTTCGTTTGCTTATGCAACCAAAAATATTATGGCCGCGTTTACTGGGGGTGATGAAGTCTGTATTCTGGGCTCCAGGCACACTAAAAACGGCAGCGCCGGGCCCAGCGCCGCTCGCGCGTGCACCACGCGCCGGCTTTTTTTGGTTCCTCCGAGGCGCGGGCAGCTCTGCAGCCGCGGGGGCCGCAGGAGGCGGGGGCTGGACCCGCCCGCAGCTCGGGAGGGCCCGGGATGGCCCCGGGGAGCGCAGGCCCCAGGGCCGGGAGGCAGGAGCTGAGCGGACACGGGCCGGCCTGGGGCGCTGGGAGACCCGGGGGCCGATCGGGTCGCAGCCGCCTGGGTGACCTCTCGGAACCTCAGTCTCCTCCTTGGTTTTTTCTTCTTGGACTATGATTCCTGTTTGCTGAATCGAGTGTGTAGTGAGCTGTGATCGCACCACTGCATTCCAGCCTGGGTGACAGAAGGGAGACCTTGTTGAGAGAGAAAGGGAGAGGGGAGAGAGAGAGAGAGAGAGAAAGAGAGAGAGAGAGAGAGAGAGAGAGAGAGAGAGAGAGAGAGAGAGAGAGAGAGAGAGAGAGAGAGAATGAGAATGAGGGAGACATTAACACCCTGGAATATTGTGTAGATGATTTTAAAAAAAAATACAAGGTAGATCAAGATGTATTAACAAGTATCAGATTGTCAAATTTCTTTATGACATAAAGTCATAGAAAAATAGAAAAATAACAGAATATGATTCAACTTGAGTTTTTAAAAATCCACGGAGTGGGGAGAAGCAAAACAGAGCTCAGTGTTTTCATCCTACTTCTGTACTTCTGAATCATCTGAAGAGACGAAGTTCACGCATTTCTTGCATAATTTTAAGTATCTGCTTTTAATGGTGTGAGAGACGGGGGTGCAGGGGCCTCCCTGGCCCTATCGTTCTCTGGAAACAGTGGTCAGATCAGCAGTGGGACTGGCTGCAAGGCTTCTGTCCCTCACCCCAGATCCCAGGCTGGGTCTCCAGGATGTCCGACCCCAGTGTTCTGAGGGCCTCTGACCTTCAGGAGGCCACCAGAAGTCTTAGGGCTACGGGAGGGATGGGCACCTGGCCTAGGAGGGCAAACGCTGAGGGCAGAGCAAGCGCCCTGGAGTCGGAACCCCGGCTTCTAGTCCCTGGGGCATTGTCCCAAATGGCTGAGTCTCCCTTCTTCCTGCCACCACTCTGGGTCTTGAGACCTGTGGCATCCTCCGCCCTGGCAGCCAGGGCAGGGCCAGTGCAAGGAGTAGCCGATGGACCCCGGCCGGCTCCAAGGCTGCGGGGCTGGGTGTGAGGCCTCGCCTCAGCCAAATCTGGAGACGTGCCCCTTGACTTAGCTTCTCAGGGTGAGGCCAGGCTCCCTGTGGGCCCCAGAAACCTCGAGGGTACCCCACCCCTGCGATGGCCCAGCCCTTGTGCGTAGCGCTCCTGAATCAGACACTTACTTGTAAACATGCGCACAGTTGCTGGAGACGCAGCAAAGAGGCCGCTTGAACACAGGGAGCCACTCCCACAGCACACGGGATGCGGATTTCAAGGCGTTATCCCTTCCAATCAGCTTCCACCAGCCAAGAATTCCAGGAACCTCTGTGATGAACTAACTTAAGCAGGTTTCTTTACTTTGGGACTTCTCAGGACCTTTCATAAGCTTGGCTATACGACGACTCCCCATGAAGGTGTAATGAGTGCAGCTTACTAGACATCCGTGGACTCAGGAGCCCTTTTCTTCCAGAGCATCTCACAGAGCTAGGGGGCTCCAAAACACTGAGCCAGTGAACAGGCATGGAGGGTGCAGGACCATCGCAGGCAGAGTTTGGGAAAACTTAAGAGGAGGATGAAGCTGGGAGTGGTGGCTCACACCTCTAATCCAAGCACTTTGGGAGGCAGAGGTGGGTAGAGGTCAGGAGTTCAAGACCAGCTTGGCCAACATGGTGAAACCCCATCTCTACTAAAAGTACAAAAATTAGCCAGACATGGTGGTTTGCCTGTAATCCCAGCTACTCAGGAGGCTGAGGCAGGAGACTGCTTGAACCCAGGAGGCAGAAGTTGTAGTGAGCCAAGATCGCAACACTGCACTCCAGCCTGGGTGACAGAGCAAGACTCCGTCTCAAAAAAAAAAAGAGGAGGACTAGTAAGCACTGCCAGGCATCACTCAACAAAGGGGAAACATCCTGAGAAATGCATCCTCAGGCAATTTCATCACTGTATCAACAGCATAGAGTGCACTTACACAAACCCAGATGGCGGTATGGCCTATCACACACCCAGGCTATTGCTCCTAGGCTACACATGCGCAGAGCTTCTTACTGCATAAATACTGTGGGCGATTATGGCACAACAGTATTTGTGTATCTAAACATATTTATATGTAGAAAAGGTAGAGTAAAAATACAGTATTATAATCTTATGGGGCCGGGCGTGGTGGCTCATGCCTGTAATCCCAGCACTTTGGGAGGCTGAGGTGGTTGATCACCTGAGATCAGGAGTTCAAGACCAGCCTGAGTAACATGGTGAAACCCTGTCTCTACTAAAAATACAAAAAATTAGCCGGGCGTGGTTGCTGGCCCCTGTAATCTCAGCTACTGAGGAGGCTGAGGCAGGAGAATCGCTTGAATCCGGGAGGCAGAGGTTGCAGTGAGCTGAGGTTGTGCCAGGGCACTCCAGCTTGGGCAACAAGAGCAAGACTCTGTCTCAAATAATAATAACAATCTAACGGAACCACCACTGTAGCTGCAGTCTGTAGCTGACCAAAACGTTATATAGTGCATGACTGTATAAGAAGGTGTGAGAAGGCCAGGCGTGGTGGCTCATGCCTGTAATCCCAGCACTTTGGGAGGTGGAGGCAGGCAGATCATGAGGTCAGGAGATCAAAAGCATCTTGGCTAACACAGCGAAACCCTGTCTCTACTAAAAGTACAAAAAATTAGCTGGGCGTGGTGACATGCACCTGTAATCCCAGCTACTCCAGAGGTTGAGGCAGGAGAATCACTTGAACCTGGGAGACGGAGGTTGCAGTGAGCCAAGATCACTCCACTGCACTCCAGCCTGGGCAACAGAGTGAGACTCTGTCTCAAAAAAAAAAAAAAGTGTGAGAAAAGTAGAGGCCACCTCACCTGTAAGAGGTTTATTAAAATCCCAGTCCTGCCAATAGAATGTGGGTGGGTAGGGGGTGGGAGAAGCCCGTCGACTAAGCAGGTGTGGGACTAACATTCTTCTCTTTTCTCAGAGCTTGATGCCTGGGCTCATGCACATGTGTCCACCTACCTAGGCACATACCCAGATGCACCCACAAAAAGCTCACATGCAAGCATGTGCTCACATGAAACACACACAAGCGCACACAGAAGAATATACACACATCTCCTCCTGGGCAAACTCGAGTACAGAAAAGCACACACCCATACACACCCCGGGTGCACACCCACACACACACACCTGCCCATGCAAGCCCGTGGGTGCTCATTTCCCAGAAAGCAAACACACACAACACATGGAAACATGGATGGAGACACACACATCCACACACACCAGCCGAAGCATGCAGACACGCACACAGCACTTGCGTACACGCACTGGGGTGTGCGCGCAGAAGACAGGTGCAGGCGCGTGCTCAGAGCACCTGCATCCACACACTACGCCCTCTCGAGCACAGCATGTCTAAGCCCATAACAGCTTCCTTGCCTCTTTGTGGAGGTGGGGCCTGTGGGGGTGGGAGTGACGCTGTATTTTAGAAGGAAGCTGAAGGACTCCCGAGCGTGTTGAGTAAAGCAGTTCACAGAAGGCATATGTCCTTTGAATATTTTTATCTTTAGCACTCATATGTCTAGCAGAGTCTGGGTGGCTCCATATTGCTACCAAGGAGGACAAGTGGCTGGTTTTGAAAGCAGATGGCCCCTGGCTGCAGAGAAAGGATACCCCTGCTCCCTCCCCCGCCATACCACAGCATTGCCTACCTCCACATATGGGGTCCCCCAGAGGCCTGTGCAGGCCACCTGCTTCCCACCAGGAAAACAGCTGGCAGAGCAGATTCTCCAGCCCCTAGCTGGGTTCCTGGAGAGGTTATGACCGCCCCCAGCCCCTAACCTACCCCAGCGCCGGTCTCGGGAGCTCCGGTCTCCAGAGCACTTTGAGCCAGGACCATTGTCTTGGGCCTGGGCTGTGGTCCTCTGTGGGGGGGCTCTCTGCAGCTGCCCTGAATATCTGCATGGATGGTGTTTGCCACAATCCCTGAGCTGGCAGGAGGTCTGGGCATGTGTCCTGGCCTTCTGGCTGGTCAAGGACAAGCTGGTGGATTTCCAAAGCGATTTAATCCCTGGGTTCTGACGCACTCAGTTCACCACCAAGCAGGATCTAGGGGCCACAATCTGATGTCAGAGGGCGGGAGTAGCCTTGGCAAGGCCTTGGCATGACTCCATCCCTCCTGCCCACATGGCAGCTGGCAGAGAGCAAGAGGCACCCAGAGTCTCCGCCTCTTGAATCACAACTATTTGTTAGGCCCGCAAACATCAGCATGGCCTAGAAAATGAGGTAAAACCCTAACGAGGAAAGATAATCAGGTGCTATTAAATGAAAAGAGCAGATAAGCAAAACATGATGAAGGTGTTTGAGAACAGTAATAAATATATTCAGGCAGAGGGGAAAACACTGGAAAAACCAACAGTGACTATCTTTAGAAATTTATCATTCAACAAATATTTATTGAGTACCTGCTATTGGTCAGACTGTTTAGGTGCTGGGTATATAGCAGTGAAGAGACAAAACCCTTTAAAAAGCTTATATTCAGCTGAGTGCGGTGGCTCACGCCTGTAACCCCAGCACTTTGGAAGGCCAAGGGGGTGGATCAAAGGTGGGTGGATCACCTGAGGTCGGGAGTTCAAGACCAGCCTGACCAACATGGAGAAACCCTGTCTCCACTAAAAATACAAAATTAGCCGGGCATGGCAGCAGACGTCTGTAATCCCAGCTACTTGGGAGGCTGAGGCAGGAAAATCACTTGAACCCAGGACATGGGGGTTGCAGTGAGCCAAGATAGTGCCACTGCACCCCAGCTTGGGCAACAAGAGCGAAACTCTGTCTCAAAAAAAAAAAAAAAAAAAAAAAAGCAGCTTATATTCTAGAGAATTTACAGACAATAAACAAAATACATGAGTTCAATATACAGTAAATTGGTTGGGCACAGTGGCTCATGCCTGTAATCCCAGCACTTTGGGAGGCCAAGGCAGGTGGATCACGAGGTCAAGAGATTGAGACCGTCCTGGTCAACATGGTGAAACCCCATCTCTACTAAAATACAAAAATTAGCTGGGCGTGGTGGCGTGCGTCTGTAGTCCCAGCTACTTGGGAGACTGAAGCAGGAGAACTGCTTGAACTCAGGAGGTGGAGGTTGCAGTGAGCCGAGATTGCGCCACTGCACTCCAGCCTGGCACCTAGCGACAGAGCAAGACTCTGTCTCAAAAAAAAAAAAAAGAAAAGAAAAAATTAGCTGGGAGTGGTGGGTCGTGCTTGTAGTCCCAGATACTTGGGGGGCTGAGGTGAATCACTTGATCCTGGAAGATCAAGGCTGCCTGCCGTGAGCCAAGATCACGCCACTGCGCTCCAGCCTGTGTCGCAGAGTGAGACTCTGTCTGAACAAAAAGAAAGTAAGTGAAATGGTGTGAATGGTGTTAAGTACAATGGAAAGGCTGGTGGGTTTGGGAATTGTGGGTTGAGGACTGTAATTTTTAATAGATTCAATTTTTTAAGATCAGTTCCAGATTTACAGAAAAATTAAGAAGACAATATAGAGAGTTACCCCCAAACACTCCCTCCTCCCACACCCAGTCTCTCCCATCAGTGATAACTTACATTAGTATGGTACATTTGTTGCAAAGAATGAACCAATATTGATACATCATCATCATCATTATTGTTATTATTGGAGACAGAGCAAGGCTCTGTCACCCAGACTAGAGTGTGGTGGCATGATAATGGCTCACTGCAGCCTCAAATTCCTGGGCTCAAGCCATCCTCCTGCCTCAGCCTCCAGGGTAGCTGGGACCACAGGTATGCACCACCATGCCTGGCTAATTTTTGCATTTTTTGTAGAGATAGGGTTTTGCACATTGCCCAGGCTGGTCTAGAATTCTTGGACTCAAGCAATCCTCTTGCCTCGGCCTCCTAGAGTGCTGGGATTATAGATGTGAGCCCCCGCACCAGGCCTTGATACATAATTATTTACCAAAGTCTATAGTTTATTTAGATTTTCTTGGTTTACCTAATGTCCTTTTTCTGTCCCAGGATCCCAACCAGGATCTCGCATCCTACATGGATGTCTTGCCTCCTGAGGCTCCTCTTGGCTGCAAGCATTTCTCAGACTTTATTTTTGATGACTGTGACAGTTTTGAGAAGTCCTGGTTCAGTGTCTTGGAGGATGCTGCTATATAGGAATTTGTTTCACGTTTTCCTCGTGTTTAGACAGGGATTACGTTCTTTGGGGAGTGTTAATCACAAAGGCGTGTGCCATTTTCATCACGTATGCTATCAGAAGTCCACACTGTCAACTTGAGCTAGGAAGACGCTGACTTTCTCACCGGGATCTGTCAGGTTTCTGCACCTCCTCCTGTTCCACACTGTACCCTCTGGAAGCAAGTCACCACGTGCAGCCCACATGTAAGGCCTGGGACTTACGCTTTCAGCCCTAACTCATTTAGGGTGACATAGCGACATAGATCATTTGAAATTCTTCTGCATGGGTTTGTTGTGTCTTCTCCCTCATTTATTAATTAATCCAATCGCTTCTTTACCATGGATTCATGGATATTTGGTTTACACTTGGGTTATGATACTACTTCATTTCGCTGCTCAATATTCCAGTGTTTGGCTGCTGGGAGCTCTTTCGGACGGCTCCTTCATCTCTTTGATACCCACCTTCCTGGAACCAATGTGGGCCTTTTCTTTTTGAGCCCTTCCTTATTCTCTGGCACTACCTGATGCTCCAGGTTCATCTTGTGTATTTCCTGCCCAGTCCTGGAATCAGCCATTTCTCCCAGGAGCCCTGGATCCTTTCACTGGAGAATGGTATTAAAAACCAAGGTACTAGATATGATATTTTTTGTTTTTTGTTTTTAAACAGGGGTTTGCACGTTGCCCAGGCTGGTCTAGAATTCCGGGCTTTTGTTACTCAGGCTGGAGTGTGATGGCGTGATCTCTACTCACTGCAACCTCCTCCTACTGGGTTCAAGTGATTCTCCTGCCTCAGTTTCCCAAGTAGCTGGGATTACAGGTGTGTGCCACCATGCCCAGCTAATTTTTGTATTTTTAGTAGAGACGGGGTTTCACCATGTTTGTCAGGCTGGTCTCCAATTCCTGACCTCAGGTGATCCGCCCGCCTCAGCCTCCCAAAGCACTGGGATGACAGGTGTGACCACTCGCTTTTAAATAAAACCACTCTGGCTACCATGCTGAAGATAGCATCAAGGGGCAAGGGTCGATGTTATTTTAAGAATCCAATGAATGATGATGGCTTAGATTGGGTGGTAGCAATGGAGGTTGGGGAAGGGGCTCAGTTTCTGAAGGCAGAGCCAACAGCATTTTCTGCTGGGTTGTTGGATACTTGGTGAGAGAGAGGGATGGCGCTCAGGTTCTGCCTGATCACCTGGAAGGAGGCAGCGTGATGAGTCACACTGGGGGAGACTGGAGGAGCTCACACGCTGGACACATTCAGTTTGAGACTCTCCTCATCCATCCAAGCAAAGACACTGAGTTTGTGGCCTTGTGGCCTTGTGGACGTCTGGAGTTGAGGGAGAGGGCGGGCTGGAGGGATACTGTGAGAACGGGCTCCTGACCCAGCCCTGTTCCCCTGACACAGGTGGTCTTCAGGCAATGATTTACACCTGTGGGCTTAGGCGGACACACACACCCCCCCACCCTGCCCAACACAGGACCTGGACCAAGAGCCAGCCCATAACCACGTGGGGAGGGAGGCAGCTTTGAGAAAACCTGGCCCCAAGTCCTGGCAGGTGGGGCCGATGTTATGCGGCTTCCCAGAGTCCCCCGGCCTTGCTCTGCATGGGGTGCCCCGCAGACACTCAGGCCTGAGGGCACAGAGAGGCCCCTGGATGAGGACTGGGCTTTCTCCCCATCTGAGCTGCTCCCCAGGGCAGAGCCTGGGGCCACATCTACTTCTTCCTCAGCTCCCAGCCTCTGGGTCCTGGCCACAGTCACCAGAACTGCTGAGTGAAAGAAGGCTCGAGGCCATATCCAGAGGGCAGCCTCTCTGACCTTTGGGAGGTGGCAGCAACAGGTCACTGGATTCCCAAAACAGGAGGAATGGACATGAGAGGAGGATCAGGAGGGGATGGGAGTGAGGGAGGAGACGGGTGGCTCCAAAGGTGAGGGGAGGTAGGAAGAGGCTGGCATCCCGGGCTGTCCCCTGGTCCCACAGCCTGGCAAAGGGGCGGCTGACAGCAGGGGGTCTGTCCTTCTTGCCACCCACCTGTCACTCACCCGCCACATCTAGTCCACCAGCTGCGCCATGGGCTCCACCTTCACTCTCTATATGGAATCAGTCCCTGTCTTCCCTTGCTGATGCATCCACTCCGGTTCAGGCCACCCGCCTCTGACCTGTGTCTCTGGAAGAGCCTCCTCCCACTTCGTCCTCTACAGTCTGTTCTCAGAGCAGCCAAAATGACCCTTCTCAAACAACACCGGCATGAGGCCATCACATCACAAAGCCTCTCCCGTTCCCAGAGTGAAAGGCCTCCTCTCAGACCACGGAGTCTCCTCTGGTTTGCAGTCCTCCCGCAGCAGCCTCTCTGCTGCTCCTCCAGCAGCCCCAGCAGGCTCCCAGCTGCCTCAGGGCCTCTGCCTCATGGCTTCCGCCCGGCCCACTATGACCAGCAGGCACCTTGCTCCTTCAGGTCAGCTCTGACCTCTCCTCCTCAGAGAGGCCACCCTGCCCACCCAATCTGAAATAGATCCCTCCCCACCACTGCCACTGTGCCCTTCCCCAGCTTACCTTTTCTTAAGACTTATCATCACTTTATATATGTATCTCAGCTCACTGCAACTTCCACCTCCCAGGTTCAAGTGATTCTCGTGCCTCAGCTTCCTGAGTACTGGGATTACAGGTGTGCAAGATCATGCCCAGCTGATTTTTGTGTCTTCAGTAGAGATGGGGTTTCACCATGTTGGCCAGGCTTATATATGTGTTAACGCCTCCCCACTGGAGTAGAAGCTCCCTGAGAACCAGGCTTTTGTTCTGTCCACCAGCACATCCCAGCACCTGGAACAAGCCCCAGCAGGTGGGTGCTCCATGGATACCTGTTGAATAGATGCATGGCCATGCCTCATTTCCTGTGGTTCCTTAGGGCTGGCTCAGGGAAATTGGTTGGGCCTGGCTGTCCCCCTCAGGCCCAACCAATTTGGCTCTCAGAAGTTCTTAGACTAAAGTGGAACTTATCACACGGAAGATGGGAAGGAGACTGGGCTCAGTGGCTCACACCTATAATCTCAGCACTTTCGGACGCCAAGGTGGGCAGATCATTTGAGGCCAGGAGTTCAAGACCAGCCTGGCCAACATGGTGAAACCCTGTCTATACTTAAAATACAAAAAATTAGCTGAGCATGGTGGCGTGTACCTGTAATCCCAGTCACTCGGGAGGCTGAGGCAGGAGAATCACTTGAACCCAGGAGATGGAGGTTGCAATGAACTGAGATTGCACCATTGCATTCCAGCCTGGGCAACAGAGCAACACTGCTCAAAAAAAGAAAGATGGGAAGGAAATTCACCAAAACCTCGGAGAGCGAATGACTCCTTTCTCCCAAATCTGTAATTCCACCATGACTTCCCCAATCCCTTCCTCACACCTTCCTGATGCCTCCTTTTCCCCCATTGCCCCAGAGCTGGCTATGCCCCAGGTCCTTCAGGGACATTTTTGTTTTTGAGGCAGAGTCTTGGTCTGTTGGCAGGTGCAATGGTGTCATCTCGGTTCACTGCAATGTCCATCTCCCAGGTTCAAGTGATTTTCCTTCCTCGGCCTCCCAAATAGCTGGGATTACAGGTGCCCACCATCATACTCAGCTAATTTTTTTGTATTTTAGTAGAGACGAGGTTTTACCATATTGGCCAGGCTGGTCTCGAACTTCTAGCCTCAAGTGATCCACACGCCTCAGCCTCCCAAAGTGCTAGGATTATAGGCCTGAGCCACTGCATGCAGCCCAGGACACCTCTTAAACATCTCCGTGGTACCTGTTCTCTCTCTGGCCCACCACTTTGGTGCTTATCACCTCAGGGACCCCAGAGGTCTCCAGGGTTTGCTCTCATCACCACAGGGCAGTTTCTACAGAGATCCAGAATGATCTTGCTAAAAAAGAAGGTCTGATCTGCTCACTCCCAGGCTTAGCCCCCATCATCAGCCCTCAGGGTTAGGTCCGGAGTCCAGTTGACTGCCCCCGTCCTGTCTCCACACTCCTCCCCCGTGAGCTCTTCCTGCTGAGGCTCCTGTCTGACTCAGCCACACACCTGCCGCCAGCCCCTCATGCTCACAGCACTTGCTCCTCCTCTCTCAGCCCTCTTCTTGCTTGATTGCGATTCATTGTGTTACTGCCATCCAGACTTCCTATTTTGAGTTCCCAAGTGCAGCCTGGCTGGACAGAGGCCTTAACCTCTGCCTTGAGTCCTGGTTTCATGGGAAGCCCTCTGGTCTCAGCTTGGATGTTTGTGGGTGGGGAGCAGCTGCGGTGGGTAAGGGGTGGCTGATGAGGATCATGGAGTGTGCTGAGGCTCCCTGGTCCTTTCCTCAGGGATGCCACTGACGCCACTTGTCCCCAGGCTCTAGAGGAACTGGGTCTCTCTCGTCCAGGGTCTGACAGAGAAGAGGTTCTTAGGCTCTGATCTGTTGAAGGGTTGAATGGGTCACTCTAAATAGTAACTGTAGGTGATTTTTGTTCTATACATAACTATATTTTCCATAAATAAATTATGTCCTTTTTTTTTCTTTTGAGACAGGGGGCTCACTTAGTCACCCAGGCCAGAGTGCAGTGGTGCAATTATGGCTTACTTCAGCCTCAACCTCCGGGGTTCAAGTGATCCTCCTGCCTCAGCTTCCCAAGTAGCTGAGACCACAGGTGTGCATCACCATACCTGGCTATTTATTTTTTATTTTATTTTTTTGAGACAGAGTCTTGCTCTATCCCCCAGGCTGGAGTGCAGTGGCGTGATCTCAGCTTACTGCAACCTCCAACACCCAGGTTCAAGGGATTCTCATGCCTCAGCCTCCCAAGTAGCTGGGATTACAGGTGCTCACCATGCCCAGCTAGTTTTTGTATTTTTGTAGAGACAGGGTTTCACCATGTTGGCCAGGCTGGTCTTGAACTCCTGGCTTCAAGTGATCTGCCCGCCTCAGCCTCCCAAAGTGCTGGGATTACAGGCATGAGTCACTGCCTATCTTTTTTTTTTTTTTTTAATAGAATGGAAAGTAAAAACTTATCTTGAAAAATCATTCTTATTGAAATGTTGATTAAAAAGTAATACTTCCTGTATCTTCCAAAGCTGAGCAGACACACACCCGGGCCCCACCATCCCTGCCCTAGGTATTCACCCAACAGAAATGCATTCACAGGAGCTGGAATGTTCATAGTGGCACTATTCACCATAGCTAGGACCTGGAGCCTCCCCAAATGTCCATCAGCAGTAACATGGGTGAATACATTTTAACAGAGTCACACAATGGCAAGCTACCATCAGTGGCGACGAACAGCCCCCAACTGCCTGTGGCAGTACAGACAAGCCTCACAAATATAATACTGAGCAAAAGAAACCAGACACAAAACAGTACCCACTTTATGGCTCCGTGGATGCACGGTTCAGATGCAGGCCAGAGTGCCCATGGGCTGAGTCAGGAGAGAGGCTGGGCTCGGGAATGGTAGGTGGAAGGGTCTTGAGGGCTTTCTGGGTGCCAGTGAGGTGCTGGTTTTTAATTTGGGTGCTGATTGCATGGGTAGGCGAAGTGTGTGCAAAGTTACCCAGTTGTACGCTTTAATTTGTGCAGTGTTCTGTGTGTGTGCTTAACTTCAATTTTTAAAGTCTTAAAAATAAAACTCATGCCTCCTGGAGCTGGTTAAATACACCTCCCTTTTCTGTCCAAGGGCAGGTGGAGAGCAGGTGGCTGGCCTCCCTCGGGCACAACCCCGTGTCCCCTCGTGGGTGCTACCAGAGTCCCTCCCCAGGCTCCTGAAGCCCCAGACTCAGGGATTTTCTTTCCACTAAGCTCTGGAGTTAAGTCCCACCGTCACGGACCAGGCCTCTGTATCGGCCCAGTGTAGCTACAGGCCGGCCCTCACTGGCTGGGTTACTCCGGGCCTCTCTTGCCATCGGCCACCCCCAGGCTTGGTGCGGAGGTGAGAGTGCTGGGGCACAGGCCGCCTGGGTTCCTGGGTTGTGTCCGGCGGCCTCCCTTCATCTTCTTGCCCCTGGTGGGGGGTGGGAGTAGCGCTTGAAGGTGGAGAAAGTGGGGCTGTCGATGCTCCAGGGTCCCCGACCGCTCCTCCCACCGCAGAGGGCACGGAAGCCCTGGACCTGGTCTGACCTTGCGCGCCAGCCCCAGAGGTCGCCCCGCTCGGCTGTCGGGGTTCAGGTGCCCGCGGTGGGCCGGGGAGGGTGGTAATCAAACCGGGCCCGGCGGCCGGCGAGGGGCGCGGGTCCAGCGCGTTGCCCTCGGCAGCCGCCGCGAGCGGTTATTTATAACCGCGGGTCGCGTTACCTCCTGACCTTAAACTGGGGCCGTGAATCCGCGGCGATTAGCATCTATCTCCTCCCCGCCGCCCGCTGCGAACAAACACCCCTCTGTGCGCCCTCCCCGGCTGGCCCGCCCCGCGGGAGGCCCTGCAGGAAGCAGGATGTTGACCCGGAGCCTCCCTGTGCTACTGCGGTGGCCCAGCCACGTGTGAGTTGCGGGCGGTGCAGTGCGGGTGGGCGGGGGCCCCCGGGAAGCAGGAGCTACTCGTGTTTGACGGCTTCCCGGGTTACCGGTGTCCTGGTGTATTCTGAGTGGCCGCCTCATTTACAATATAGGGCTCCCCAGCCCGGGTCTGCCCAAAGGGGTGCCCTCTCCTAAGCCAGCCGGGACTAGTCAGCCCTGGTTGCCGTGGCACCTGCACAGGTGGTCCCAGAATGACAGATTGCAAACCGCATCCTCCATCAGCCAGCCCTCGTTCCTCGATGGCAGCTGAAGGCCAGAGGGGAGGGCGGCTGCATCAAGGTTCCACAGCTGACCCGGCTCCTGCCTGATGTTTTTCCCGGCAGCTCCCAGACTCCTGATTCTGGTCTGGAGAAGCCTTGTGAAAGGAGGCTGGGGTCGGACGGTTGGTCCATTCCTTCAACACATTTTTATTTTATTTATTTATTTTTGAGACAGGGTTTTGCTCTGTCAACCCAGGCTGGAGTGCAGTGATGGGATCACAGCTCACTGCAGCCTCAGACTTCCAGGCTCAAGCGAGCCTCCTGCCTCAGCCTCTGAGTAACTAGCACAGCAGGTACAGGCTACTATGCTCAGCTAATTGTAAATTTTTTTTGTAGAGAAGAGGGAGTGCTATGTTGCCCAGGCTGGTCTCAAACCCCTGGTGTCCCAAAGTGTTGGGATTACAGGCATGAACCACTGCGCCTGGCCCATTTAACACCTTTTTTTAAGGCACCTGCTAGGTGCCAGGCACCTTTCCAGGCAAAAATCCTTACCCTGTGGAGCTGACAGTCCAAGGGAGAGAGTCCTTCCCTGGAGCCTGGGGACCCACAATGGAGCCACAGTCTAGGCAGTTGCTGAGGGCCTTGATGTGTGAGTCCTGGGGAGGGAGACTGAGGCAGGGAGGGAGAGGGCCAGGCTGATGGTGCATTGTGGGACTGCAGCCCCGGCTGGGTATTTGCTGAGCAAGGCCAAGGCCATGTGAGACACTGACACCCTGGGCCTGTGAAGGCTTATTTAGGCCCAATAGCAGTGTGCCCCTGCCTAGCTTCAGATGACCTTGCACCCAGGGCAGAGGGTGAAAATCTCACCCTGTCTTGGGAGTCACCCTGGAAGAACTCATGGGAGAGGACCCACTGAGTCAGGAGGTTTGAGGAGCGCAGTGAGGGTGGAGGGAGCCTGGGCTGTTGCCTTTCTGCCATGCTCTCAGGCACTTGGGAGCCCATGGGAGTTTGCCTGTGTAACATGACCAGCCCCTGACCATCCCTTGCCCTCTCTGCACTCCAGCCAGGGTTGACAGAGCAAGACCTTGTCTCAAAAGTAAATAAAATAAAAAGGTTGAATGAATGAGCAGTGACGGGGCTG